GCATCAGAAATTACTTATCCTCCTTGGAAACGAAGTAAGAGGACTACAGAAAGGACTTGTGCTCTTCCTGAAAGCCAGTGTCCTCTCCATTACTGTTATTTAGAAATGTATCTTGATTGATTTCTTCAGGACTATCACTGTCACATTATGAACCTTAATTCTCCATAACTTTAAATAAAGATCCTAAAGATAGCACTCTTTAAATTATTATATATGTGATATGTAAAACTTCATCCTACAATCAGACCAATATGCATCAAAGTTACTCTGCTTTTCTTAGAAAACCCTGCAATGGAATATTCCAGGCCAATATTTAACCTAGGTAATGAAACGAATCTATCAAAGCTTTAATCAAGTTATTAACCATAGCCATACTGGAAAAAGACTAATTCCCTCTGGAGATACACGATAAAGAATGAAACTGATCATTCAAATGCAAGAAAATTTCTTAGTCCTGATAGGATGTGCATCATGGTTGAAGACAAGGCAGAATCAGAGGTAGAGACTTCACATGCACCATGCCAAATATATAGTAAGTGCTCAGGAGATTTTTAACATTCTTTTAGTATTAGAGTATCAGTCTTGGTGGAACCCATAGCCTAGTGGAAAAGGAGAGTATTATGATATTTGAGGGTCATTGAATGAAAACATGAGGAGAGAAAAACGGGAATAGAGAAAAGGCATAATATGGAATCCTAAAAATCCTAAGGCCCCAGGGTCCCTCTCTACTATAATAGTATGTGTGTTTAGGGTGTTTCTTCTCAGATGAGAAAAAGTAAATTGACAATGGCTAACAACATTATAGAATTTCTTTATGTTGTTAGTTTATTAATTCCAAGGATATTACTGAACCAGCTTACACTCACCTTAAACAGTTTTTGCTTTCCCTAGAACATCAAGTTCAAACTTGATATTCAAACAAGGTCAAGGTAACCGGATTGTGAGCTAGAGTTAGGACAAAACAAACCTTGCAAGTTTTTACCTATAAAGTGGATAAATTGTCAGAAATTTTTAAACAATTTAATCATTTTTTTCTCTAATATCTTAAAAAGAAATTTTAATATCTAATAATCTCTACCATATTTACTTATGTCTACCATCTTATAACTTTACTCTGTAATGAACTCAAAAAATGATCACAGAATCTCTAATTCATTGAGAGAGACAGAGAAAGAGAGAGAGAGAGACGGGATGGAGGAGGGAGGGAGAGGGAGAGAGAGAGAGAGACCAGTTAGCCTATAACAACCGGAAGAGTAGAATTATGTAAAGAAGAACCTCAGAAGAGATTCCTGCTGATGATAACCAATCTGCTGTTAATGGTTGCAAGAGCCACTTCAAAGTCATCTACCCATGGAGGAGAATAACTGATCAAATCTAGAGTATAATAATCCAAGTGGGAGTAACATACTAAATTCTGAAGACTGGGGAGATAGGGAGAAAGGCTGAGGCTGTATACAGAGGTGGGCTAAAAAGGGAGTGGAAGACTCCAGGACAGCTCTGTTGATCCAGCAGCCACTGTTGGGTGTGCGTATGTTGGTTCTAAGGGGTCTTTAAATTAATGCTGTGTAGGGGAGCCAGTGTGGCTCTCAAATAAAGAAAACAGGGTAAGTTCAAAATTCAATCTGAATACTGCATGAAATCCCAAGAAAATGTATTGAAAGAGGTCTTCTTGAGTCTGTCCTCTAGGAAGAAGGTAACAAGAGTATATCAAATCACTTTGCTAAACAAGATGATTGTTATAACTTTAAGACTGCTTGGATAGAGTGAGGGGAAATTTATTTCAAAATTTTGAATTTTCTCTTGGCACAGAGCAACGCTTGTGAGCATGCTCCTGAAGGTCATCATCTTTCAGGACCCACAGAGATCAAGAAGTAATGGCTTCCACCAAGTTAATGGTTTTCTCCATCCATGATACTAACCAAAGGGGAATCTGTAATCCTCAAATGATAGCTATCAGAAGCCACAAAGAAGTTAAAGACAGTGGCAGGATAACCAGAAAACCCTGCCCAAAGTTTGGTGAGTCCAGAAGCAGGAAAATGGTTAGGAAGCCTTCCATTTGAAGTTGTTAGTTCTGATACAGCCAGCATTTTTAAGCTTAAGTAAATCCTTTACATTTAGAAGAGATGATATAGGACAGAAATAAGTATAAATAATACCCTTGGTATCATTGCTTAAAGTTATTTAATGAAAATAGTGAAATGACTGCAGTATTCATCATTGAAAAAAGTGATACTTGGGCACTTGCACATTGTGAACTCAATCATTTGGAGAGTTGCTTTAAAAATGAGGAAAGGAGAGACCCTTCTACACAGGGTTATGATATGTATGAAATGAGGTAATATAAGCACAGCACTTAACATATAGTAAGTGCTCAGTAACTGTATCTCATGACTGCTATGACAATAATAATTATTATATGATAATATTATGATATATGTTATATATTATAATTATTATTATAATTATCATACCAGTCTTGAGAGCGCTTACAACCTAATGAGAAAGGAGATAATTATCATGTGTAACTCAGATTACAATTTTCAAATTTTACTTATTTAATGACTGTTTAACTTGGAAAACACTGTTTAAAACACTGGGAATGTAGCTGAGAATTTAAAAGATAACTATTGCCCTCATACAGAGAGCAGTTAGGAATACAAGAGGTAAATACATGTGGTGGGATAAGGGTAAGTGTTATGTCTATGAGCTATGAAGAGGGAAGATGCAGAATTGGGCAAGAAAGGCTTCAGACTGTCATAATGATATAACATCTGTGAAAAGAAAGAGGGAGGAAGTAAAACCAAGTAGAAAGAGCACTAGACTGTGCTGCAGATGCAACACTGTTTCAGCCAATGCGAGAGACAGCTACAGCACGGAGCTTTTCTATTACAAGAGTCTCACACTGGGCAAAAATGGCCAGGCTTTACTACTATCGCCATGCTCAGTCATTGGCTGGAAAGTCAGTGAGAAGAGCATGTCCTCAGCTTGAAAGTTGCAGCAGATTCTGTAGATGCTTCAGCTGAAGGCAGTCAGCTAAGTGCACTCCTTAGAGCTGAACAATTTCTTCCTAGAATAGATATCTGAGCATCGTACCTCTACCAATGCCACAGTTCACTCTTTGTGCTATGTGATTCACCTCTCTATACATGTGTTGAGGGTTGGCCCCTTGAAAGTTGTTAGTCTCTTTTCCTGAGCAAAAAATTAGAAGAGAGAGGTTAGTGGAACCATCTATAACACCATTACTGCAGTTCTTGCAGTTACAATGGATACTCCTTGTCTTCCTTTTCCACTCCATATTCTGTTTTCCCCACCTCAGGCATCTCTGCTGGTCTTGGGAGCTTACCTTGTGGTGTAGCTCAAACTAGCTTTCCTGAGAAGTATGAGTCTGGTGTAACCATATCCTCCTCATTCATGACTGAGCATGGGTGACAGGAGGCACCAAAGTGGATCATCAGAGTTTGCTGTCTTTTCTTCTTACCTCCTGCCTGCTCATCCCTGGACACAGGACTCCAAAAAGTCCACCTGGCACCCATAGCTTGTAATTCAACAGGACCTTTGCTATCTTGGTGGATCATTCAATCATTTTTGAAACTCAACAACTCAAGTCCTAAATTGGGTTTTCAGCTTTTTCTGTTCTCCCACTGCAGGAGATAAGAAACTTGGCCTTCACATTTAAAAAAAATTATTTGTTAACTGATTGCCACTTTTCACCATTTTTCATTAAGACATCATTGTAATTTATTAACAATTATTCAATACCATTATCCTTTGCATCCTCCACACTTTTATTACATCTCCCACTATAATCCCCTCCACTGGAACATCCTTTCCAGTCACCCCAATGAAGTTTTTAGCAAATGTACCACTTCTCTGTGCCAGGGACTATCTTTGTTCTGTCCACCATCTAGGATGAAGCTCTCAGTGTCAGCCATGTGGGCAGTAACCCGATACCTAAAACCCAAGTTACTACTTACTTAGAGCACTCCAGTAACAGCTATTTTCCATTTGGAGCCTTCATGAGTAACATACTAAGACCTAAGACCAAGTCAGGAATGCAAGAGATTTGGGGAGGGTGAGAAATAGGATGGTAAATCTTGTGAAATATAAAGGTAAAAGAAACAGAAATGACATGAATCTTGAGGCTAGAATATGAAACTATTTATAAAATGAAAAAGGGAAGGAATCAGGACTAAGCAAGAAGAGAGTCAGACTATGTTGCAGAACTGAAAAAAGTCTCAGCAAAGACAATGGGGAGATCTGGAGCAAATATTATTTTTGGAGAAGTCCCACATTGGGCAGAAATGATCAAGCCCTAATATTCTTTTTCTGTTGAGCTATCCAAAAAGAGCATGGTCTAGGCTTGAGTACTGTATTGGCTCTCTAAGACACTGCAATAGAAACATGTTAATTAATTGCAATCCTTGAAGCTGAAAGAAAAATCTGAGCAGCGCAGTTCCATGGTTACCATTTGGAACTCATATTCTAGTGAAGAAAATTAAAACTAACCAAGTAAAGACAAAAATATATATTGTGTCAGGTGGTTTGTATGCTATGGAGAAAAATGCAAGGTAAGAGTGTTAGGGAGTACAAGAAAAAGGAGGAAAGAACTAATGTATATAGGATAGTAAGGGATCAGCCTTTATAAAGTAGAGTGCTTCTCTGATAAACTGGTATTATCAAGGGACCTGTTTATTAGAGTGATAGAAGTGATAGAGTGAGATATGTAAATATCTGAGACAGAGTATTACAGTCAGAGGCAACAGAAATGCAAAGGCACTGAGTCAGATAATATTTGAGAAATGATTGGCTGGGTGCAGTGGCTCGCACCTGTAACACCAACACTTTGGGAAGTTAAGGCAGGAGAACTGCTTGAGTCCAGGAGTTACAAGCATTGCTTCAGTCCGGGATTTTGAGACTAGCCTAGGCAACATGGCAAGACCTTGTCTCTATAAAAAATAAAGCATTAGCTAGACGTAGTAGCACATGCCTATGGTCCCAGCTACTCGGGAGGCTGAATGGGAGGATCACTTGAACACAGGAGGTTGAGGCTGCAGCGAGCCATGTTCATGCCACTCCAGCTTGGTTGATGAGTGAGACCCTTTCTAAAGAGAGAAAGAGGAAGAGAGAGAGAAACAGAAAGGAAACATACATAGCTAAAAAATGAGTGAGGGAGAAGGGAAAAAAATGTGATGTGTTCTCACAGGTATTAGCGTGGAAAAAATAGTCTAATATGTAGCGCCCTGTAAGACATGATGACTACTTTTATCCTGAGAGAGACAGAAAGTTACTCAGAGTTTCCACTTGTCTGTCAAATAAATACATTAAAGTGCTCAAAAAATCGATCTCCTGCTGTTTGCCATGCCCAGATCTCCTCTTCCTGGGGTTTTTCTTATGTCAGTTGATCACAACTCTTTCTTTCCAGTTACACAAGCCAAAACTTTGAGATCATTCTTGACTATTGTCTTTTCTTCACACTCTACATACAATCTATCAAAACATCTTGCTGAATCTTCTTCAGATTATATCTGAAACACAATCCCTTTATATCACTGCACTCACTACCAATATGGGTTACTGCACAGCCCCTCAACAGGTTTCCCTCTCCCTCCTTGTCTCCCAGAGTTCCTATTCTCAACACATTGGCCAGAGGGAATGCTTTTAAACTGCAAGTAAATCATCAAAAGTTTTCAATGGATTATATCTTACTCAAAGTAAAAGCCAAGATCATTAAATGGCTTAAAAGGACCTTCATTGTATAATCCTGACTCCTGTTTCCAAGCTGACCTCATCACCTACTCATAGTGGCCTTTGTGATGTTCCTCCAAAATCCCCAGCATTCTTCTTCCTTATCTTCTTTGAAATGTCAGTTCTTTCTGCTTGGAAACTTCTCACCTGATATGCACCTAACTAACTCCCTACAGCCTTCGAGTTTTATTCAAATACCGTGCTTCTTCTTAACAACCCTATATAAAGTAGCAACTTGCCCCCAACTTCCAGCACTCCTGATCACTTTTATACTGAACAATTTCTTCATAGCATTCACCACCTTCAACAAAATAAAGAATTTTTTTATTCAGATACTTATCTTGTTCACTAATCTATACCAAACTCTTAGATCAATGCCTGGATCAATGCTTAGACCAAGCACATCATAAGCATTCAATAAAATTGTTTTACAAAAAGTTTTATATTATTAAATTTACTTTGCAATTAATTTACTGTGCAATAGGATAACATAATTCTAATCTATGTTAATGCAAGTAGTATATTAATATATAAATTATATTTTTAAAATTTACTTTCTAATTAAGTGGGAGTACCTGTTTTTAATTATTGCATTTTAGGTTTGGGGGTACATGTCAAGAGCATGCAAGATTGTTGCATAGGTACACACATGGCAGTGTGATTTGCTGCCTTCCTCCCCATCACCTGCATCTGGCATTTCTCCCCATGCTATCTCTCCCCAACTCCCCACCCCCCACTGTCCCTCCCCTATTTCCCCCCACAGACCCCAGTGTGTGATGCTCCCCTCCCGGTGTCCATGTGTTCTCATTGTTCAACACCCGCCTATGAGTGAGAACATGCGGTGTTTGATCTTCTGCTCGTGTCAGTTTGCTGAGAATGATGGTTTCCAGGTTCATCCATGTCCCTACAAAGGACCCAAACTCATCGTTTTTGATGGCTGCATAATATTCCATGGTGTATATGTGCCACATTTTCCCTGTCCAGTCTATCATCGATGGGCATTTGGGTTGGTTCCAGGTCTTTGCTATTGTAAACAGTGCTGCAATGAACATTCGTGTACACGTGTCCTTAACGTAGAATGATTTATAATCCTTTGGATATATACCCAGTAATGGGATTACTGGGTCAAATGGAATTTCTATTTCTAGATCCTTGAGGAATCTCCACACTGTCTTCCACAACGGTTGAACTAATTTACAATCCCACCAACAGTGTAAAAGTGTTCCTATTTCTCCACATCCTCTCCGGCATCTGTTGTCTCCAGATTTTTTAATGATCGCCATTCTAACTGGCGTGAGATGGTATCTTAATGTGGTTTTGATTTGCAGTTCCCTAATGACCAGTGATGATGAGCATTTTTTCATATGTTTGTTAGCCTCATGTATGTCTTCTTTTGTAAAGTGTCTGTTCAGATCCTTCACGCACTTCTGAATGGGCTTGTTTTTTTCTTGTAAATCTGTTTAAGTTCTTTGTAGATTCTGGATATCAGCCCTTTGTCAGATGGGTAGATTGCAAAAATTTTTTCCCATTCTGTTGGTTGCTGATTCACTCTAATGACTGTTTCTTTTACTGTGCAGAAGCTGTGGAGTTTGATTAGGTCCCATTTGTCTATTTTGGCTTTTGTTGCCAATGCTTTTGGTATTTTGTTCATGTACCCCTTAATATATTGGCTCAATCAAATGAAACTGCCCATTTTTTAGGTTAAAAATGGATCGATTTTGTCAGTTTCATGTGTTTCAACTTACACTAATACTTTCTTCACATCACAAATGAATAGCATAATAGCAAAAACTTTTGAAACAATATTAAAATACAAAATTACACATATAGCATTTAGTCTTCAAATATACCAAGAACTTATAGATTTAGGGATTAATGTAAAACCTATAACATTTGTTAGAAAGAAAAGTCACTATTAAAAATAATATACCAAGATATAGTATAGGAAATGAGAAAAAAATTATTTGAGGATAGTAGTTTATGGTATCCTGGGGGATATTTTTTTCTTTATACCTGTCTAATTTTCCAACTTCACAAAAAGAAATAAAGAATTTGGAGAGGGTTCAAACAACTCATGTAAGAACTAATATAATTGAAAACTTGAAAGACAGATTTATCCCAAAGCCTAACTGAAATGGAATTATTTAATGGGAAGAGAAAAATCCCAAGATGGAAAAAGTAATGACATAAGCAGTTTTTATGAATGATGCTTTAAAAATACATGCAAAGAAGCGTATCTATCTGTTTAATCTTCAAATCATCTTCTGGATTTTTAGGTGCTAGCAGAAAACATACCACTTTAATAAAGAGATATGAGATACACTAAAAGTATACTGTTTCCCACCTTTACTCTGCATTTGAGAGCTACAGCTCTGCTCCACAGGTCATATTAACTCCCAGTTTTCTGTTGTTCTGCCATTCCCTAAGGTAGGTGTAAGCAACTTATGACCTTAGAACCAAATTCTGCCTTCATTCCACTTTTGTAAAGAAAGTTCTTAATAGCTAAACCCATTCAGTTATGTAGTGTCTAGGGTGTTTTCACACTACAGTGGCAGACTTGAGTAGCTGTAGCAGAGACCAGACGTGGGCAGCGCATGGCAGCATATTCAAGCTTATGTACATGGCATTTGAGGTTGGGCATGGAAAAATACTGAGGCACTGTGTGTTATTTGTGCATAGAATGAAACTCCTTCACCCTGAAAACAGGACAGGGAATGGAGTGTGTGGTGTGATAAGGAATGCTAAAAACAGTCTTCTGAGAATGCAGTCGGAGTGTGTACAAGGTTACAGGTGCCTCAGCAACCCACCTCAAATGACCATCTAGTGGATGTTTGTGGTTAATACAAGCCCTTTCAATAAATAACTTGGTGGAGGGATGCTGGGGCTGACTGTCTTGGAAGAGCTCCCCCTAGCCCAGCTCAGCTGGAACTGAGTACTTCATTCTTGGTGTTCACTGCAAACTATAAGCTCTGCAACTGGTGACCTTGACATGACCGCCTTGAATTTACACATGAAGGAGAAGAGCTCATCAGTTTTCAGGGACAGTCCTGACTCCCATCAGGAGGACAGGATGCAGGCGTAAGATATCAGGGGCTAAGTTATCATGGGTCAAGAATGACCAAAGAGCAGAAAGTATTTTTCAAGACAGTGCAACAGCCACTTAAGGCTATCCAGTGTACTGTAGAGCCTGGAGCTCTACATCAGCTTATACTCTTAATTTGGCAGGAATGCCCTTGGTTTACTGATCAAGGAACCTTAGAGTTATGGGAGCAGGTAGGCTGCTGTCTGAAAAGAGGACATAAGCAAGGTCATTTTCCTAATGTTACTATTTTGACCACCTGGGCGCTGGCACGCTCTGCATTGTATCCTCTTTATCTACCAGACTGCGGTGAGTCAAACCGCCCACCTTCTCCACCTGAAGGGAATTTAGGAGATTTAAAGGAGAAGGAAAGAAAAACCAGAACAACAGGGAGAGACTTCTCTCCCCTACTTTATTCCCTTCTATGGGGAATAAAGAATGTATTTTTTCTAGTGAGTATCCTTAGGATACCTTATCAGGACAGACTGGAGCCTTTTCCTCCTTCTATAAAGAACTGTTGCTTTCTTTTCTTCCACCTTTAAAGGGACCTGCCTCTGTTGGCCCCGTTCAGGCAAAAGTGCCTCCCATCCCCCTTGAGGAGATTGGAGGCCACCCAAGGGTTGGTTCTTGGATAAGACCTCAGGTCAGCAAACATCTATATAATCAAATGAACGTGTCTTCAGTGACGGCCCCTTGACAAACTTCCCTGCTGGAGGGGTGCCTCCAGGAAGGAAGAAAAGTGGCTGATTATGATTGTCTTTTTAATATGCAAGTTCTCACTCCCTACTTCCAGCATCAGCCTTTCTGGCCTTGTCTTTTTTGTTTCCCTGGAGTATAAGGGAAAGCTGCATGCTGCCTCCTGGGTTTTGTCCTAGAAAGCTCTGACTTTCTTGCTGCCCACAGAGACCTAGAGCGGGAGAGTTGCTAAGATGCCATGGAGTGCCCATTTAGTCACTGGCAGTCTAGGCAAGTTGCCCCTTTCTGGGTTTGCGGTGATGGAGGACTGACCAAGTCCCTGGGTAGCTGCAGGCAGCTCCAGCCCGGTCCTGAGAATCCTCCTCACGATGGTCACGTGCTTTAGGAACTGGCCCAGAAAGGGGTCTGCTGCTTGTTGCGCTGCTGCTTTTCCTACTTCTGCCCTTCCCTGCCACCCCTCGCATGTCTCAGCTGACAAACAATTCTTTGTCTTCCCTGGCCCCCTGGGGAAAGGGCTAAGAAACAGTCCATGTGCACCCTGACCTTACTAGCCTAAGGTGGGCAGAGGGGTGGGGAGCAGCCTAGCGTACAGAGCTCTGGGGGAGAAGCCCGCTAATAAAGGGTGCTCTCCCAAAGCCATATGTTAAATGCTAACTAGGCTGAGGTGGACAAGCTATGCCAGCTGCTGTCATCTTCAGAAGACAGACGCAGCAGTAAGGAATGTTAGTTTCGCTTTTTTATAAAATGTTTAAAAACACAGTGGCTGGGAGACTTCACAGCAGACCCTGTGCTGCACGTCTGCTCCTCCCCTGAGCCTCTCTGCTTGGGGGTGGTGAAAATAATAAAAAGCCAGTAATATTTTCAGTATCTTACCTAAGAGTGTTGGCTCCAAGCGCAGGTCGTCTGGAAGATAAGGAGAGTGGTCTTCCTCCAGCCTGCTACCCTCTTGCCTCCTGCCTCTGCACTTACACACACTTTACCACCAGCTTATTCTCTGGCCTCTTGCTACTACTTAGTCTTCCTTCCTTCCTCTCAAGGCAAGAGTAGCAACACGTGGCAGGCTGTTAGAAAGAGAGGCTGCCTAATGAGCCCTGCGCAGATGGAAAGAAACCAGCCACAGCCTGCTTTCCCAAGCTCACTTCTAAGGCATTCCAGCTAAAGGCTACTGCCAGCACCTAAAGACATTTTAAAGCTAAAGACTAATGCCAGCACCTAAATGGCCAGCACCTAAAGACATGTAAAGAAGTTTTTGGTTTTTGTTTGTTTGTTTGTTTTTACACACTTGAGCTAACTCAATGCAGGTTTATTATCCTGGCACCTTGCAGCCACATTCTAATGACTTTCAAAGGCCAAAATATGGTAAAAATCACTTAAAATATCCATCCCTTTCATGCCTTAGTTTAACAGGTAAGCTTTATATTTTGCCATTTCTGTATTTTATATGTTATATAACGGTCTCATAACCCCTGTAAGTATATACTAAAGACTACAGACTTAATAGCTTCTCTTCTCATAAAGCAGCGCTGACGTTGCGTCCAGTTATCAGGATATGACCCTGCTACTCTTTTCCTACCGTTAAGCAAGGAATAATTTCATACTCTCCTATACTGTGATCTTAATTGGCAAGTAGCAATGGCTGACTTTATTGGTAACGTCAGCTTCCATTTACCAACTTCTAAGCTCCTGAATTTTTACAAACTGTGCCTGTTAAATTTGTATCTATTGTTGTCTCTGAGCCTTTACTTCATGTGACCACTGTTTCTACAAATAGTTCAGGAAAAATTTTTTTAAAAATACAGCTACAGTGTGGCAAAATGCCATGCAAAATTGGTAGCACAAAATCCAGGAACATTTTAAAACTATGCAACAGGTGGAGTTAGGCCTTACAAACTTACTCCTAATATTGGCCTTACAAACTTTTCCTCACTAAAACATAAATATAGTTAGTGATTCTGCTGATGCAGTGTACAGGATTATTCTTTTAGATCTTGCACATGTGAAGGGCATTACTAATGAATCTTTGCTAGCCTTGTTTCTTGAAGTGCAAGAGCTCCTCTGTGCCCATTGTCACCAACTTTGTATCACACATATTCGCTCTCATTATAGGTTACCTGGTCCCTTATAAGAAGGGAATGCTCCAGCTGATGCTCTAGTATGACCACAAATGTGGTTTGCAGACTTTTCTGCATTTTTTCGAGCTCAAGCTGATCATGCTTTTTTAATGAGAATGCTCACTGTCTTAAACAATAGTTTCATTTGACACTCAAGCTCACATGATTATTAAAACTAGACCTGATTGCCAACGGCATTCTCTCTCTCCTTTATCCTTAGGGCTTGATGCTAACCTATGAGCTTTGGTGCCTAATTCTATCTGGCAAACTGATGTTACTCAGTATCCAACCTTTGAATGTTTGAAATTTCTCCACATTACTGTGGACACTTACACAAACTTGATACATGCTACCCCCCCGGACTGAAGAAAAAACCATATATGCAATTGCTCATTTCTTTAAATCTATTATGACTTTAGTCCTTCCACAAACTATAAAAACTAACACTAAGCCTTACTTAGTGCTCAATTTACATATGCATTGCAACTTTGGCACATACAACATAAAACTGGCATTTCCTATAACTAAACTGGTTAGGCTATTATTGAATAAACTCATCAAACTCTTAAAGTATATCTTAAACAGAAAAGGGGAAATATGGGGCTCTCACTTTAAGGACACTTAAAGTCTCTCACTTTAAGGACATGTCGTTGGAGAATCGATCAGCATTGATGGTAATAATTTGGAAGGCACCTGACATTACCTGAGGACAGTGAAAGAGACTGGATCAACAAGCAACTATCCAGCTTGCCACCATGGAAGCACCTGAAACTACAGGGAACTAGTTTCTTATGTATCTGGTGGTAATTGGGGAAACTTCTGAGAAAGTAAGACAGGCATGGATATTAGGGTGGCTGGCAATTCTTCTCCTTTGTCAAGTGGGATCAGTTCAAGCACATGTTTACTAGAGTCATATTCTAAATCCCCTCGTTTTTAATGTTACTACATGGTGGGATGCTGACCCACCTTTTTCATTTAATGATATTTCTTAGACAGGGGGTCAATAGATGCTCCAGTCTTACCCCTTAACTGAAAATTTGAGAAGGATTAAACGTAATGACTCCTTGACTTTATTGTCTAGTAATCCCCATCTTTGTTTTTCCACAATAGCACATGACAGGTGTGTTACTCTTATTCCTCAGAAATATCTTTACTATCAGCTCAAAAAGGATACTAAGCTTGTAAATTTGACCTTTATTTCTGCTGTTACTACTAATCTTACTGATGCCTTCAATGAAGCTACACAAGTGCCTGGTCTTCCTATATGCCATCTGAGCAGGGACTGGCCATGTAAGTTTGAGGCTGCCCATTGGTCTCTGTGTGGACAACCTGTGCTGCATCAAGGGCCTTGGTTTGATAATGGCACCTCACTTGATTGGGGTCCTCATGGTTATCTTATGTCTGCAAATCAGATTATAGGATTTGGGAGTCCCTCCAATAGTTCTATCACCTGGGCAGAGTACAAGCTTTCAGGACCAATATTACAACCAAAAGAAAAACAAGCTTTAAGCCCTGCTTATACCCAGATTTGAAAACTAGGCCTTTCTTTGTTGTACAAGTTCTTTCACATGGTGAGTATATTACTAGAGGTGGCAACTATACCCTCTCTTTGCACAATAATGTTACGATGCAGTCCTGATTTGTACTACGCACCCTTATATACTTCTGTTTGGGCAAGGATTTCCTAACATAGAGCAGAATCAATCCTTTTATAGTTTTATAGTCTCTTTCAGTAGCTGGTATGCTACATGCTTGTCTCATGAACATGTTAAACAGTTAAATATAACCTATGTCATGATTTTAAAATGGCATGCAGAATTGTGGCTGCCTGTAAATTTAACCCAGAGCTGGGAAGGAGATTCTACCTTGCAGTTATTTAGAAAAGCAAATCTGCAAGGGACTTATTATGACCATTTGTCTTCTCAAATTTCCACTTTTGAGTATGAATTAAAGAAACAACTTGAAGAATGGTCGCAGCAATTACAAACAAGTACCCTTCAGCAATTACAAAAAGGCTTTCAATGGTTAAACCTAAACACTTTGTTGTTTGGGTTAAACATAGGCATTTTGGTGACGGCTGCTATACTTAATCTTTTTCGTATCTGTCTGCTAGGCATTTGCAGATGGCTCTGTGCTGCCACCGATGCATCTTATAGAAGCTTACCTTGCATTGGATGACCAGCATCCTTTAAGAATTAAACAAGGGGGAGATGTTGGGGGTGCATGGCAACATAGTCAAGCTATGTATGAGGCATTTGAGGCCGGGACATGGAAAAATACTGAGGCACTGTGTATGTTATTTGTTCATGGAATGAAAACTCCTTGACCCTAAAAACAGGACAGGGAGTGGAGTGTGTGGTGTGATAAGGAGCGCTGAAAACAGCCTCCTGAGAACACAGTTTGAGTGTGTACAAGGTCACAGGTGCCTCAGCAACCCACCTCAAATGACCATCTAGTGGATGTTTCTAGCAATCCAAGCCCTTTCAATAAATGCTTGGTGGAGGGATGCTGTGGTGGACTCTCCCGGAAGAGCTACCCTCTCGGCTCAGCTGGAACCGTCTGAGTACTTTGTTCTTGGTGTTCGCTGCAAGTTATCAGCTCTGAACTATACAGCCTACAAAACCTAAAATATGTACTATCTGGCCCTTTACAGAAAAAAAAAAAACTTTCCAAATCTTGCCATACAGTGTTATCCTTTGCTCCGTGGCTAATTCTAGCTTACTATCAACATTTCCACATTTTAGGCAATGGGAAGAAGGCAACAAAACCTAGCAGCGGGCAGACCATTTCCTATCCAAAAGGCCAAATTTAAGTTGCACGTATCAATTCCACTCATATCCCACCGGCATCGAGGTAGTGGGGTAAAAATATTTATGGTGGTTCTATTACCAAAAGGCAGAAAGAGTAAGTAGACACTGAGGAACAACGTGCAGTCTCTGCCAGATGATCTACGGCACAAAGAAGGCAGCGTAGGTAGACAGGATAAGCAATTGACTACATCATTTAATTTGGCAACACTAGACAATGAGATTACTTCATCTTAGCAATGAGAAGCACTTCACACTGTAAAAGCCTGCTCTGTCCAATAACTTTACCTCTTCCTTTCTTATTCCTAGTTAAATGTAATTCACCTACAACCTGCTAATACTAGTATTTGAAATAGCAGATCATCAAATTTGGTGTTTCTTGGTAGTGATGAAAATAAGCATTCAGTCTCTGCACTGGTAACTTTAAACAGGTATGCACACCTCCTGTGCAGAACTGCTTCTTGTTACTCTCTTGAACACCTCAGTGTAACTTCAAAGACAGAAGCTACAGATTTAGTTGTTTCAGAAATATGTTTATATTCTCTTTTCACCGCCCCCAACCCAGGTGAGATACAAATATACACATAATTGTAATATACACTCAACAAATTCATATTCACTTATATTTTTGATGGCCTTATCTTGGCGAGAATCCATAGTAGGTATACCAGGGTACCAGGGACTCTGGAGATAGGCTCAATAAATGGAATAGGAGTGAGAAAGCTGTAGCCCAAGGGCCAAGTCCAGCCCACTGCCTAATTTTGTAAGTGAAGTTTTAGAGAACACAGTGATGCTTATTCATTTGCATATTGTCTATGGCTCCTTTTGTACTAAGAATCTGGAGTTAGGTAGTTGCAACAGAGATTCGTGACCTGTATGACCTAAATTATTTACTTTTTCATCCATTAAAGAAAAAGGCAAATCTTGAACTACAGCAATCTAAAAGCCCTTATTTTTATTTGAACTTAGATTATAATTAAAATGGCAAGAAATAAGTTTGACTATAAGCAAGAATTTTTGAACTACAAATGTAGTTCAAAGTACAGACAAGCCCTAGATTTAATTTCCTTTTATATTTGATTTTTTTTCTTAGCACTATTAAGGACAGAAAAAGTTCTCATTCAGTTTAGAAATATTTTCATA